AACACAAAGTGCTCACCGGAACACATCCAGTGTCACATCCGCCCTAGGCCCTAAACTTGTTAACTTTATCGCACACAATCCGAGCTGGCCTGGATCTGCCGATGATTTCTGTCATAATAGCTGCAATTGCCCATCGCACACAATGCGCGCGCCGCACAGTGCGTTGTCCAAGGTTTGAGAGCAAAGCTGATCATGTAAACCATCGCGAATCGCAGTGGCTCTCATCTATAAGTGCTGCTATTTTTTGGCATGCGAATGAGAATGAAGAATAATTAGTATACCATTGACTGGGATTCTGTCCAAAACTCAGCTCTCAGCTCTGCAGGCTGTATCATGCTGTATCTATTTTGCCCAAGCACCGTGTATCCATCGGTCCAAACAAAAGCACCGCTCCTGCACTCGATCCGCCGCCCGTCGCTCGGCGTTGCAGCGCTGCTCCTCATACCTGGAACGCTCGGTGAAGCGGACCCGAAGAAACCGCGAAGCGGTGGGGAGAAGCACTCGATGATCACCCGGTAGGCCACCTCGAAGAGCATCTCTGGATGCACCTGCATCTGAGATTGTGGATTGGGCAATGCTTGTTGATGCTTCAAAATGAGTCTGGAGTCTAGAGGCTAATAGCGCCTTCTGCTGACACGTGGGGCAAACTAAACTCCTCAGCAGAACCGCTGGCGCAGTGCGGGAGACGCTCTGCGCCCGGTGGATGTATTCCTGAGAGGTCACTGTTCCAGCATTCAGCTGGCTGCTGCACTGCAACTTGAACAAATACACTCCATCAAACGTCATGAAATAGGTTTCTAACAAATGCCTAGCATGGACATTCGCTGAAAGAATCTCATGGTGCCCCCGTTCTTCCAAGTGTCGGGGACCTGCAGCATGGTGTTCACCTTGGCGCAACAAGGATGTTTATTCGATGCCTTGGGGCCTTGAGCAACACTTCCGCCTTGAGCAAGCAAAAACATCGATAATGCACATCCATGCACTATGATCCCTTCTTCGACTGATGGATCAATGCAAACGCATTGAGTACGAGCCTCCAATGGCTGGCTGCAGCCCAGCAATCTCACCGAGGATGCAAAGAGAAAATGCAATCGATCCTAAGCTCTGGCCGCTTCGATGACAAATCACAACTGCTCATGATGCAGGACTGACAGCATCTTCTGCTTCTTGTACAGCACACTTGAAATGCGTCAACTTGGAGTTGCAGGAAAGTTGAAGTTGATTGGGAGCGTTGACCTTTCATGCAAGCATGGTCACGCAATTGTTGCTTCAGTTTGTGGCAGCGTCTTTGTTGCCTCATCCCCGGCAACCTGCCCTAAAATGCCGCGGCACTTTGTGGTCCACTTTGAAGTTCAGGGCCAGGCGAGTGATCTTGACACCTACGCGGCGTTGTCTTGTGCCATACGAAAGCAAAAAATGTACAAACGATGCGGGCCAAAGAACGGTCATTGGTCACGCCAGCAACATGCTGGATGATTGCATCCTCGGCTCTGCCACGAGTAGCTGTGCCAAGCCACGATAGGAAACAAAACACGGACGATAGGAAACCTCCCTGTCTTTGCATGCCAGGTAGCAGCAATGTGATCGACTTTATTGGCTAGAGTGGCTCCCCTCACTGGGGTCACCTGGCCAAGATCTCGTGGAGCAAAGGGATTGACCCTGAACCAGCTCACATCTCGGAGGCATGGCCTGGGACTAGTGACTATGAGCTAAGACTGAGAGCTCTAAGATTATAACCTCAGGTTGCCACAAGACTCAAGATGCTCGGACTGACCAGGACAGGACTTGCTCTTGAAGTAGGTCATACTCATTACTCATACCTAATTATCCAAAATTCGGGGATTCTGCCAGCATATGATGGTAGAGACGGGAAGCGACACTCAGATGTGATGTGGTCTCCACCCCTCCCAAATGAGCCTCCGAATGAAAGTCTGGACCCTCAAAGGTCACTGCCCGCTCATACATATCATAGTGCGTATCATTCAAATTCAAACCTCAGCTTGAAAGCTTGATTCAATCCTCAAAGCCTACACACAATAATTGTTGATATGTTTCTTTTTTCAAGAGCACTAAACACAGGACAAAATTGTTTTTGTTTGGTATACTGGTGCTCTTGTCTGCCTATTATATAGCACTTGATGAAATTGGATAATGTTATATTTTTCAAGGGCCGCAGAAGTCTTGAACAACAATGCCAAAAGGTAACTTTTATACTCCCCTACATTCCTGAGACCAATCGTAAGGGAGAAGCTTCTGCTCATCACAGCATTCACTCCACAGTTTCCTCATGTTATTACTAATATTGCTACGCACAACACCGCACAACTACTCTAACTGTACTTTTTGAAGGAGGCTCTGTCTCGTATTGATCACTTTAGTAGCATCTCATATATACGGATATTTACATGACCTCATGTCATTTTGCTCTTACGATGTATATAGCTGAAAGTGAAATTTGATGGACGATATGGACGCCTCCAGAAAGGTATCTCAGTTCTTTTGTGGTGGGTGATATGGCAAAGATCTGATCTTGAACAAACAAACCAGGGCTGCTGGGCAACCTCACCTTTTCTTTTGATTATTCTTATAATATATATATATATATATTGCATTATATTGCCATATAGGCCATTGCTACTAGGTTGGAGGCCATCACTGGTTGGAGGCCATCGCTGTTCGAAAAAAGAATGAGTACAAATAAGGAATTTCATGGAATTAGTCAATGAAATTCTGCTCGTCTTATGCTGTACGATACCGAGTGCTGCCAAGTCTCGATTGATCCGTCGCTCAATGAGGCACACCTTTGGCGACCACTGTGCTCGGATCATGTTGTTGCCTGGCTAAATAGACATGGGCGCCATGAATTTGCTGAAAAGTGTCACAATCAAAACATACATGTTCAAAGCTGCCACGAGCTGCCTCTCACTAACTGGCTTTGTTGGACGAGATTACGGAAGCGCAAACTGTTCTGGCGAGAGTTGTTTTAAAATTGTTGCAAGGAGACATAAAATCAAACAAGGGTTGGAATCAACATGTTGTCTACATCTCAGCATGCTGATATAAATGCTGCCAGTGTGGCGTCCATCTGGAGGCTCAAGAAACTTCTGCAAGAGGCCATCTCCTCTATTCATCTGCCTGCCAGCGACATCTGAATTCCACATATCCCAACCAAGCATCACTGAGTGGAGCGAGTCTGCAATTTCACCACACTACATCAGCGCGACTGCAATTTTGCCTGTTGAGCAAGAGCTCTCGAAGCTGCTCTTCATTGAGGTACTCAATGGTCGTCGGAGCTAATCCACTTTCCGTGAGGCCTCAGAGGCCGAGAAGGAGTTGCTGAGGACCTCTCGACCACCAAGACCGGCCAAGACGAGACTTCCCAGCCTCTCGGAGCATCTTCCACGTCTACAGCCGTCTGCACCTTGGCTGTTGCGATCTTTGGAGTTGCTCCATGTCGTTGTTATTTTTGTGCCACATAGTCACATCGTGCAACAACATGTGGGGCCATGTAACAATTAAGCAGCTCACCCGACCACCCATCTCGGCTTTTAGCAAACCTGACTTTAACTGTGGCTGAGGTTGCCGCATAGTAGGCGACAATGCCGCAAGCCAACGGTCGCTTCAAAAACTCTCTGAGGATGCACCTTAGATCCGAATAGACTCAAATAGATAACATATCAGATAACATCAACCTTTGCCGTCCAACCTCGCAGGAAATCAAGCTACGACATAGAAGAACAACCCACTGCAAATCGGCGTTCCTACGCTGGAAAATTATGGAAAACTGAGGGCAGTTTGAAGTATGACACTACCATTGCCAAAGCATGCTTTGTGAAGGGCTAACAGTGCCCGTAAAATCTTGCAAGGCCACAAAACATGAGCAAAGGCACTCTGCATCCAACTTGGCCTTGTGCTTCCGCTTTATGGTCCCATCAACTGATGTAAAGTACCAAACTGACCTTTGGCACAAACTTTGAGATGCAGCTCTGCTTAGTAGTCAGAAACGCCAGTTTTGATCAGTTTTGTATAGTTTTGTTGGACTAGTGATTAGTGGCACACCATGTCAAAGCCAAGCGCTGCACGGGCAGTTGTACTTGAAGACAATGGTGTCGGGAATGCCTGCCCAGTACCAGACGTTGCGGGCTCAATGCCAAGAGTGCAGGCTCACGCAACTGTGAAAATGAATCAGGAGCACGAGCGCCGCGAGCGACAAGCCAAGCTGCGCAAAGTTATGGACTGCTGACTAAGCAAATCCTTCTTCCATATCAGCTCGAACCTTGAGAGCATGTTGGATGCTGACAGGTGTGCCTTCCCCAACACAGCCGCTTCTTCACGGTTCGTCGAGTTCACGTTCTACCCATGTGCCGATGTCTGGTCAAACTCCATATGTGGAACACCCGGCTGACCAACAGAAAAGTAAATGACACATCAAACTGTACGTATATTAAACCGGGGGCTCCCAAAGGGCCCCCCTGTAAAAACGAAAAAACAACCACAACACACCTCACATCCATGGGGTTACTGAGGTTCTGATCTCCCTCTTTTATGTCGCACCACATGGAGGACTCGGAGGTTCAAGAAACAGCCACCATGGACTCGATGGACGTCTTGCCATCAAGATACAGCTGTCGGTTTACACCATCCCCTTGAAGGCGCTGTGCTACTTCCACCTCTGGCGCCATGGCTGAGCCAAAAGGGCCGCGGAGGGCTGTGCTTTGGCTGTGGTTTTCACAACGGGTGGCCGGGTGGACCTTGGAAATCCACTTCCAACAAAATGGTGCGCCTTACTGGAGGAATTATACAAGCATATGATTTGCACATGATATGCTGCATATCATCACAGTATGACAGAAGCGGTTTTAAAGCGGGAGTGAGTGAATCAAGAGTCTCTCGAAAGCAAGCAGCTTGCGCTTGGATCCTTCGGAATCCTGCGTAAGTCATTCCCTCATATTCTCAAAGCTACAAAATCCCACAAGCAACCGACTGCAGCATGGACAGTCTTGTCGGTATCCAGCCATCGCCAGCCGGACACGCAGCGTCCAGCCTCAAGCACCCAACCGCGGACACGATCACAGTAGGTGTGCCATGAGCACCGCAACCCTAAGCAACTCAGCAATTTGGTGTCAACAAGCGTCAGCAATTGTAGGGCAGGAGAAAGACAATTACAATTGCACCGGATGGGGACATACTTCTGACCGCTCATGGAACTGACCGCGTTTGACGTGTGTTTGACGTTTCGCCTGCAAAACGTTGCGGCGGAGCTGTCTCAAATACCTGCTCAAGGTGTGGGGATCAAGCGGACACACGTGGCCAAGCATTCTGGAATGTTCTGCTTTCTGATCCTTGAAGAGTTTGTGGTGTGATCCTTCAAGACATGTAATGTTGCTCACAATCTGATTGCTAGACCTTGCACACTCAAGCCTGGCAGATGTAGCGCCTCCACAGCGCAGTTGATGATCGGTGGCCCTAGGCATATTGCCCCGGACTGCCTGGAGACGTTCCAATGCCCTTGGCAGCTGGCGAGCCAGGGCACTGGCACGTAGTGGCCTTCAGGTCAGGGATGCTTCATGTTTTGTAGCAATTCCAACTTGCCAACTAAGCAAAATCATACCGGAAGACTACGCTTTGACATGATGGCACATGAAGTCTGCACCTTCCGTTTCCAAAGCCAGGGTAAGCCATCTCATGGATCTATGATGGTCTATGGCATGGGTGATGACATTTCTGAGGCAAGGACGTCTCCCAAAAGCTGGAGGCATCCAAGTACTTGGGAAGCTCTAAGCCCAGCTCTTCAGCGCCAGCCTCCACCTACCGCAGCACGAAAAAACGAAGCATCCAGTGACTTGCATGCAACATCCAAGACATCGTCTCGCAGGCCGCACCTCACGGTGCAAGGTCTGCAAATCCTCGTTAAAGGCTAGCAGTAGCCACCCGTCCGTCCCCACATGTTCGCACTCCGGGGGAGTGGTGTGCGAGGTCTTCCCAACACCTGCAACGAAAGTCTGTGTCCAAACCAGTGGTCGCGAATGGTCGCGACACTCCACTTGCAAGCTGCAGTTGCTGCACTACACTGCCGCCGTGAGCTTAGAACTTGCCACATATAATATCATATAATTTAATATATTAATTAATAACTTTATATTGTGTACACCTTTGACAGTGGAAACACCGGCCTTTTCGCCGCTTCTGCCGAGGTGGCATGGGCCAAGGTCTTTATGCATGTTCTTGCTCATGGCCATCACGAGGCTCTCGACTCATAGCATTGTGTTCTTGAAGTGTTTAGTTTTGGAGGCCAAGGGCCCGTCTTATGAATGAGGCACCCAACACGGCGGTCTGACACGATGTCAAATCCCCAATCAACTGACACAAATTGACGTGTGTTCACATGAACCTGTCCCAAATATATAAAGGTCCAGCATTTAGGTCGGTCCCTTTCGGCTTCACATTGTATTGAGCCGCTCAGAAATTCAGACTCGTACCCAAACGCATGCAACGGAAACTGCCCCTACTTAACGCTGCAGGGGCAGGGGACCATATTGCTGCCACCAATGACACTGGTAATCCAACTGACACTCAACTGTGGTCCCTGCTTGATGGACGTTTCCTGGCTGTGTGCCTTCGACGCCGCATGACTGGCGACTCTTGCTCCGACTCGATCGTCCAAATGGCCCAAAATACCCACCAAGAATATTGTGTGATATTGTGTGGATCTGTCTGGTAGGAAATCCATCAGGAAGAAACGGCCTGTGTGAAACGTTGAAAGCACTGAGGCTTGGACCTCCACCTCCTTCCCCATTGACTTGTACAAAATAAAGCGTACAAATCCACAGGGTGCCTGGCAATTTGGCACCGGTGTGATTTGAAACTGGTCTGGACCAGTCTCAACACTTCCGGCTACGATACTCTATGACACTCGACCTGTCTCAAAACTATCGCATGGCCGAGCCTCGACTGGCACAGAGAGGCTCAAGGAGGTGTTGGGCTTCACAGGGGCCTAAGTCGCCCGCGAAGTGCAGAAAATCTGCAAAGATCAGAGACTTGGGTAGTGCGGTAGTCCTGTTCATTCTTTCGTGTTCTTGAGCGGATGATTCATGTTGATGATCTGATGATCATGGTTACGGTTCACCAAGACTTGTGACAAATGGCAGGTAGGATCATTCAATCAGAGAGGTACTCGGGTGCTGCGGCAGATTTGTTGGACCATTCATTTGGAATGATATGACTCACGAGCAAAACTGCATCAACACCGTTGCCGTGAAGGCTTGTTAAAACATGTTGAAACTGGCAGTGGAATCTGGTGGAGACAGCGGAAGACAAGGTGGTTGCTAACAATTAGTAAAGCTGCCAACATTAATGACAAAAAAGTGCCCCGTGAAGGTGGCAAAATGCATCAAAAGATCAGAAAGGGGGATCAAACAAAAGCAGGAGCACCTTGCATATGTGTTCCAGAAAGTGGATGAGAAAGGGAATGTGGAAACAAAGGCCAGGCTGAAGCACCCAATTCTGGGCTGTGGGCTGAAGGCACTTTGTACTGTTGTCAAATCACATCAGGCCTCTTTCACCCAGCTCTGGGCTGCAAGACACCCAAGATTGTGAGCTGCAACTGCATGCTGCGGCGATATTGATCTGGTGGCGGGTCCTTAGGTATGCACCCTAGACCGGCGCACCGGTCAAGACTCGCACAAAGAATTTAAACACAATGAAACGCATGTTACCACATGTTCAGCAAAACGTGAGAAGGCTCAATGATGGTCAAATTTTGTGTCAAAAAGCTCTGTGAAATCTAACATCTAACAATTTCAACTCAAAGGCTGACACCAAATCTGCCAAGTCCAATTTCACCCCTGAAAGTAAGCGCAATGCATATCTGTGTAGGAGATGCCCCAAGTGCCTGGCACAAGAATTCTGCAGCACAATCACCAATGAGCTTTATAATCGCAAGAGCAATGTATATATTTGTCAAGCTGCCTGTGATCCAAGCGACAAGCATCCCTAACCTACCCATAAAGCTCAAGACCTTCAGAAAAATTCACTCCGGGCATCTGACGCATTGTTGCGAATGATCTCCGAGTCCTTGCCCTGCTGAGCAGCTGCCTTCAGCAAGTCCTGGATTTTTCGGCCAGTGGCCCCCCGGAGCGGGGGAAGTCATTCGCTCCATCGTCCTGCTCCATCGCTCTGGCACCGGCAAAGCCACGCGCATAGCCATAGCCTTAAGAGGGATCGCGTTTGTCGAAAGGCTGGGGCACAAGCCCTACAAGTACCAAGTCAAAGGCCGGGGCACCAAGAATGCACAAGACAACTTACTTGTCCTTCTTAGTTGGAACAAGTGGGAGGATCTATTAGCTCGCCGAGGGCCAAACGCTCCAAGATGGGCTCCTCAACCTCCATAATCAAGGCATGCACCGACCTGCATCTTCATGAGAGTTGCGGCAGTGGTAGCGACCTGAAACGTTCCTCACAACGCTCTGCCTTATTGGAGCAACCGGGCCCGTAACAAAGCACCTGAAGAAACCTATTGACCTTAAATCAAAAAAAACTAAACACAATGTGTTGCAACACTTTGGCAAACACGGGTAAAACGGGTGAAGAAGAACTTTGCCTCTTGCCACCAGCGATGTTCGAAGGTTGCCGGCCTGGTTCCCACGGGACCAGCGATGTTCGTAAGTCTCCAAAGTTGTTTGGCCTATCTTTCGCTCAAGGTCGCCAGGAATCAGGATTTGGAGTGCAGCAATTCTCAAGCTCCAAATCCCGCAAGAACTATATAGCAAAAGGTCCCCGCCCAAAGAAAGCTGACCTCAATACAAATCCGAAAACGACATCTCTTCCAATCGCTGCAGCTGAGCATCCTTCTTTGAAGGCCTTGGTTGTCCGATCATGTCCGTCCGACTCCAAACGCACCGATCGGTGCGCCGAGGCGACGGACACGTGCCCTCATCATGGCCCGGTCTTTGAGCTCCTTCTGAAACTCCACTCCTCGCGGCACAAAATGGAGGCAACACAACCCATGTCATGGGTTGGATCGTTGAAATGTGATGCCTGAGAAGTGGATACAGCCGTGATGCCAGAAGCTCTGATGACCACAAACGCTTGATTCAAAGATGCCATTGCACAGGAAAAGGGATAAATGATAAAAAGGTATCCTTCGAATGCCCGCACCAGGGCACGCTGGCATTCCACCAGCTGCTGCGTGTGCCGGTCTCCCTACAGCCAGGAGAGAACGGCATTAGTCAAGAGCATCTTGGGAATATCATCACACGTGAAGCGATTCGGAACAACCAGCCGTGCTCAGCCTGCACCGCCCTGTCGACATGAAGTAACTCCGAACGCCTCTCAAAGCCAGAAGCGTGCAGGAGCTCGCAGCATGGGGGTTCTTATTGCATGGACCCATCAGTGCAATGTATCTCTCTCAACGACATGCAACACTTTTTTGAGCTCAATGGAAAGTGCGGGGGATGTTCTGGATTTGCAGAAAAGTGCTTCACTGTCAAAGTCTTGGATCCGACCTGTGGCCTTCATAATCTTCATCAAAGTACCTCAGCCGCGCGGCCTCCTCACGGCGTGGCAGTGTTCGGCCACTGGGTGACCGCACGAGTCGCCATAGCTGACGAAGACCTGTGACGTGAACTGTGTGTGTCCAAGGTTGACTTCTTGAATAGCCTGGTGTGGGATCAAAAGGGTACAGTCACATGTCACCAAGGGGTACGGTACAGCCATGTGCCATGTACATTCCAAAAATGTCTTGGATTCAGCCTCTTGGCCCTTGTACAAGTCCGTCACTGCGCGGAACTCTAAGACCTGGGTAGGCCCAGGGGCACCCGTGGAACGACGCTTTGTTCTGAATGCATGAACCAATAGGCATATGCAAAGTCACATGGATCATTGTGTCGAATAACTGTATTCTTGACTGTTCATGCATATTCAAAAATCTAGTGCACTAAAATGCAATAGAAATAAAATAACATGCAGGAGTGACATGAGGCACCTGCTAATCTGGACATGAACATCTCCAAACCCGCATCTTGACGCATGTTGCTTACTTTTTCTCTGCACATCACCATCCACAGCAACTCCCGCAGCTCTTGCTACAAGACCTGTCAACACATTGGCCCATTGCTCAGGGAAAACACACCAAATAAATTCGTTGCAATTACGATGGTTAGGCAGATCATAAGTCTTTTGGATGCGCCTCTCTGTCTCTCTCATCTGAGTCGGACTCATCAGCGCACAACCTCGGAAGCAAGCGCAGCATCACCCGATCGGGTGGCCACCATCGAGCGACAAGTTCTGTCCAAGTGCCAATTCCAAAAGGTCTTGGAGTCTTGGAGTCTTCGTTTCTATGATATCTAAATTTTGATTCAACCCCCATGGGCACTAGATTGGATTCCAATGGGCTCGGATTTAATTTAGGAGTTTTTATTGTTTTTGCTTGGGATCTTTTTGTTTTTCGTGTTTCGTGGCAGGCGCACTTTGTGGACCTTGAAGTGCAGATTTCGTGGCAGGTGCAGGACTTTGTGGATGTTGAAGTGCAGATTTCGTGGCAGGTGCAGGACTTTGTGGGCCTTGGAGAGCAGATTTCGTGGCAGGCACAGTACTTTGTGGACCTTGAAGTGCAGATTTCGTGGCAGGTGCTAGATAGCTAGATAGATAGGCAGATAGACATAGACAGATACATGGATCGATAGATACATAGATAGATAGATAGGAAAGAAAGAAAGAAAGAAAGAAAGAAAGACAGACAGACAGACAGAAAGAAAGACAAAAGAAAGAAAGAGATAGATAGACAGATCGGCAGACAGACAGACAGACAGACAGCCAGCCAGCCAGCCAGCCAGCCAGCCAGGCAGGCAGCCAGGCAGGCAGGCAGACAGATATAGACAGATAGATGGATAAGTAGACAGATTTGGGAGCTGTCGTAGCTGGCAAAATACATTGGAATAGTGTAGGTGTCAGAGAAATTGCTACCTATCACAACAGTTTGGTGCAGTTAGCAGAGAAACAGCAAAGAGTAAGAGAACTAGCACAGGAGGCATATTTGGTTGGTTAGAAATGTTTGCACCGGGGAGTTCACCTTAAAATGTTGATTTCGTGGCAGGTGCGGGTGTCGGAGATGAAGTGCAGATTTCGTGGCGCGGGGGGGGTTGGGGTGGCGGGGGGGGGGGGGGGCCCCCCCGCAGCAGCACACCAGATCCAAAGGTGAGCAGCTAGTGCTTGCTTGCTTGCTTGCTTGCTTGCTTGCTTGCTTGGTTTCTTCTCTGCAAAGCTCTGAAAGCCAAAAGCCACAAAAGCCACAGAAGCCACGAAGGCCAGAAGCCACGGAAGCCACGAAAGCCAAGAAAGCCAAAAGCCACAGAAGCCACGAAAGCCACCAAAGCCAAAAGCCACAGAAGCCAGAAGCCACGAGAAACAAAAAAAAACATTTAAAAAAAAACACAATAAAACAACCATAAATTAAATGGCCCTCCGATTCCAATGCTTTGTCCAGTCACAACATGCCAAAACCTATATTTCATAGGATTGATGGCATCACCGCCGGAATTTCTTGATTTGGAGAACTATAGGCTATAGCCTATAGCATACACATGGCATGCGAATGCTGTCCGACATGCTCGGTGTCGAACAAGTTGAGTGTCCATCGCGAAGGCTGTGAGGCCTCAGCTGACGGTCGAAACGTGCATCCTGCAAAAAACATGTACTATAGGGAGTCACAACCTGATGGCATTCCAAACATATCTTCAATCCTCACAGCTGCCATGATCGAAACCAAACATCCGCTGGGTGACACATCGCCTTGACTCCTTGACCGGCTCCAAACCTTGCAAGCGTCAGACCGAGAAGGATAAGTTTACGCCAACACAAGTTGTGGACAGGTGCCGAACTGCCGGCACGAGCAAAAATAAGGCGCCATAGTATGCGAGTGTGCCAAAAGAAAAGAAACACAAAACGACTGCCATCAAAGATACTTTAAGATCATGCCGCATGCCAGTTCATTCCGACAGAAAGAAGCGTAGCTGCTCGGCGTTTGCCGGAGCATGGGATTGTGAGCACCAAACATCGGCGTTTGCCGGGCTTGGGCAGCTCAGTGAAAAGTCGTGCCGCTCAGTCGGTTTTGAAAGCCACAGCCTTGCCACGGGTAGCACGGGGCTCAGGGGGGAATTCCTCATCCTGAGCAAGTCTCACTGCGCAGTTGATGATGTATTTCTCACCCTCTGCTGGTGGTGGAGCATCATAGTCCTGCAGGAAGTGTGCACCATAACGAGTGCGCTCGGGTTCCCCCACCACTTCCAGCCAAAAGCCGGTCGGTCCGCGCCAAATGCTCTTCACATCACCAACGGACGCCTCGGGGAAAGCACTCTTCAGCTTGGGGTCGGTTGCAATGGCCTCCTGATGGGATGGATCCACAAACTCTTGCGCATAGTCGGCAGGCTTTAAATCTGGAAGCTCTACTGCACCACCCTTGGAGACTGGAAGATTGTTTGGATCAGGTGGGAAGGCAACATCACCAACATCTTCGATGAGATTGTCGGAAGTCCATCCACAGCTCATCAGCATATGAACTAAAGCGATCTTGCCCTCATACTCGACTTTCAGCCAGTAGTTCATCCGAGGCTCCACGGGATGTTTGGCGACCTGCAACACTTTGCCTTGCTTGACGTCGTCATGACCTGTCAATGCTCCTCCACATGACTGTAATCCCTTGACAACAAAGTCTTCTGGTGAATCCAGCAGCTTGTAGAGTGGCTCTGCATCCTCTCCATCCCCCTCACCGCCCTCACCCTCTGGCATGCTCTTCGAAACGGGGGGGAATGCAGCTTCGCCGACATCCAGCATGGCATTGTTGTAGGTCCACCCGCAGCTCATCATCGTATGCACAAATGCAATCTTACCCTCACCATACTGCACCTTCAGCCAATATTGCATCATCGTCTCCTCTGGATGCTTGGCAACCTGTAAGACCTTGCCATCACACACATCTGGATAGTCTTCACGAAGCCTCTCATTCACGGCCAGGCCTTCAACTACGAAGTCCTCTGGTGGATCCATGATCTTGTAAGGCTGATCATCTCCAGGAGGAGGAGGTGCCATGCCCCCAGCAGGAGCATCCTCCGTGGATGCAGGCAAATTCTTTGGATCTGGAGGGAATTTAGCGTCACCAACACCACGGATGACCTTGTCGGAGTTCCAGCCACAGCTCATCAAAGTGTGGACGAATGCAATTTGCCCGGAGCCATATTCAACCTTCAGCCAGTACTGCATCATCGACTCCTCAGGATGCTTTGCGACTTGTAGCACTTTCCCGTCGCGAACATCTGGATGATCGGAGACTACTCCACCAGCAACCTTCAAACCATCAACCACAAAGGATTCCGGGGGATCCATGGGCTTGTACAGGCCTTCTTCAGCAGGTGCTGCAGGCGCAGCCGGTGCAGCAGGTGCAGGGTCAACCTTTTGTGCTGGAGCTGCCTCAGGAGCTTTTTCAGCACCTTTTGCTGCGGCCTCAGCACTTTTCTTGGACCCTCCAGACCCCATGATGCACTAAAGCTCGTGGTGAGTCAGCTTGACGTGGACACGCGGCGCTTGAGCTTTCAAAACACATCGGAGAATCTGAGTTTCCTGAGATTTCTTCATTGCAGGTTTGCGAGAGAATCCAAGCAATCTTAGCAACAAAGCTGGTGCCACAACTCATGACCACAAAATCTAAAAAGGCACCTTGTCAAACGCAAACGCCGGGTCTCTATATCATGGAGATGGGTGGAAGCAGCCTGCAAGAATGTCAGCTACTGAGTACTGCACTCATTCTTACCCGACAGCTAGAAACCCATACTGTGCTCAAGACTCAATAAGCAATCGTCAAGGTTCATCGAACACTCCATCTCCTGCACTTAGGGTTGCACGCGTGAGTTGCATATGATCCTGACTATGACGCCTGTAATTCTTACGGACAACATGCAAAGGCTTTTCCTTTTCAAAGCTAATGAATCACACATGCCGACAAACTCCCTCTGATTGATCACTCATTCTTCTGAGGGCCCCCATGTTGCATCTACCTAAAAACACAAAAATAGAAAACACGTCAAACCACGACAACACTTTTCGGCGATTGCACCCGGACTGCGACCAGGAGGTGCAGGAACCCCAAAGCTTCCAGGATGATCTGCGGGAGATCTCGGACTCCGCGGCCCAGCGCAGGCAGGCCCAGCAGGCCCAGCGTATAGCGTCCAGCAGGCCCAAAGGCCGATGGGGTTTATTGAGACTTGCGGCGCCGTAGGTAGCAGCCACAGCCAATGAAGAAGCCTCAGAGTCTCTCGTGGCACCAAAGTTTCAGACTGAGGTAAACTGAGCAAAATGATGGAGGGCTTCCATGTCAGCATTTCATTTCAAGGAATTCCACGTCACTTCTTGGATTACAGCCACGGGCAAGGCACCGTGAAAATCCATATGCAACGAAGAACTGCGGTTTCAACCAGTCGCATTCATTAGAATTCACGTCTGAGACAAAATTTGAATGACGTTGCACCAGGATTGCCTTCCCCTGCATCCCGCCGCACTCAACATGGAAGGCCAGGAGACAAAGTAGAAGGCTGCCTCCACCAGCAGCCACCGGTATCACCCAAGGGGGAAGTTCGTCAGAGCCTCCTTGGGCACCACAAGACCTCATGCGTTGGTCATGAGGCATGAGGCAAACTCGACGCTGGATGTGTTCAACTGGTAGTTATCTTCTGATCTTCTACTGCCTGACATGTTCTGCGCAGTCTGAATGTACCACCCAGTATGGCGACATGCGATTTGACATGGTG